CAACTTATTGATCGACATTCAGCACTACAAACGTCGCATAAGGAAGATTCCGACCGCATTCCATTCACTCTCACGTTTCACCCTCACAACCACTCAGTTAAATCCATCATTCTTAAAAACTTTAAATTACTTCAAAACGATCCAGAGACAAGCACTATCTTTTCGCAGCCTCCGCTCATTTCATTCAAACGCGACAAAAACATAGGCAATTTTTTGGTCAGAAGTTCTTTTCAGACTAATGACCAACCAGGCACTTTTAAATGCGCTCGTGCACGATGCAAAACGTGTCCTTTCATTCACAACACTGATAAAATATCGGGACCTAAACGATCCATTAAGATCACCGATCACTTCACGTGCACCTCCGCCAATGTAATCTATTGCATAACTTGCACTTATTGCAAAAAGATATACATCGGCGAAACAGGCAGAAGACTAGGTGACCGATTCCGAGAACACCTTCGAGACGTGGAAAGGAATGACAAGGACACATCGAAACCAGTCGCTAGACATTTTAATTTACCTAATCATTCTAAGCAACATATGGCAATCTGCGGTCTTTCCTTACACTTAGGTAGCACGGAAAGCCGTAAAAATCTTGAACAAAAGCTCATCTTTCAAACCGGCAGTCTAAATCCCACAGGGATCAACGAACGCTTTTCATTCCACTAATTTATTCTTGTTTTTCTCGTTGCCATGTTCCCACCAATAACGTAGCTCCATTCTCTGCCTTTAAAAGCACACACAACCCACAATTCCTCTATTCGCTCCGACGAAGGGCTAACGCTCGAAACGTCAGCTTTTGTAATCGTTACGGTGGCCAATTTACCACTTCAACTTTGTTGATATATCCAAGTTATTTCGTTACTCCCACCGACGCAGCTCCAAACAGTTTCTCTCGAAACTATCAGCCTTTATTCAAAGTCCTAGACAAGCCTACGCCTGAGGTTTACTTTATTACCGAAAAAATTTTCAGTTTTTCCTTTGTACTCTTTAACTTTTTCTGAGTTTCTTTTTAGCTACATGTTACTTTTATCTCTTTTACTCTCAACCAAAGATCAATTGTCCATAATGTCTGCCACACATCTATTACGATTCTAACTCTCAGAATTTGGTGACAGAAGGAACGATTTCCCCTAGTTTGACTTTTTGTCTTTCTTCTCGTCATCTTTCTGCTCGACAATATGTTGGTATCATATGGAGACATAAATTACTTCTTGTTGGTGGAAGCTGTGCAAACTCTGGCAGTGAGTCACCCTTTCAACTTGTGTAACTGTCAAAGCTCTGCTATATAGGCATTGCTTTTAATCAAATCTAATCTTTACGGAAACAACCATTCTCAAAAAAAGTTCAAACAAATTTAACTGTACCTGTAGTTCACGAAATACCATTTTTAAGGAATATCTTGAGGCTTCCATCTCAGGAAATTCACTTATACGGTAGCGGTTGTGATCAACTATGAGCTCCTGATATTAAAAAAAATTCTATCAATATGTGTTCAGTTTTAAAGGATCATTTCAAGAAGAGCTGCTGTCAGTACATCATCAATCCATGGAATTTGTAATGCAACATTAGGATCAATTACTGATAATTTTCTAGAACACTCCTCATAATCAGATCTGTACAATTATATTGATACGCAGTTACTTCTTTTTACTTTCAATATGTAATCTATATTGCATTGTAAGTAGCCTTATCTATTGCATGTCACTATTCTTACGTTGCAAATATCATTGTTTTCTTTCTTTTTTATTGTTCTTGCCCCTGTGGAATGTTACCTTGTAACTTTGTCTTCTTTTCTAATTTGTATTTCATGGATAGCTGCCTAATTTCCCTAGCCCTTATGGTTATTATAGACAGCTAATACCTTACTATAAAGTTTCAAAATCTATGTATTACTTTTTCCTTCTTGTTGGTATAAATAAATGTTGTTGTTATTGTTTCTGTTGTTGTTGTTTACACCTCTTTACACCCCTCCCTCCCTGTACAACAACTTTACATTTTTTTTTTCGTAACTGTACCATCCAACTTTTGGAGGGGGGGGGGGGACTGGACGGGATTGATGTTCTCACAATTTTTATCACTGTTTGTAGGTGTAACCCTTTTGCCACTTGCTTTGGATCAAAGGAAAAATATAAGAAGTTGGGAATAACAGGATTCTTAAGTTGAGTCCCACAAGGCTTGTGTCCGTGTTGTACTTCAGAGGTAAAGCCACGGAGTAAGAGGAATTTTAATCAATCTGGCTGACATTTATTCTAAAGCCGGACATAATCATTTTGTTTAAGAAAAATGTACAGACAAACACTTGATCTTTGCGACTTCTACCACTTTGCTACACACTATGGTGAAAAAGAGTCTGTCCTGCAAAAGTCTGACCCAAAGGGAAATGGCTTAATTTTTAGGAGATGCACAAATGAATTTTTCATCCAAACCTTTATTCCATGGATGGTCTTTGGGAATCTCTGTTTCTCCATTCTCTGCTCCACTCTGTTGATCTCCACAACAAGAGCTTTTGCCAAGTTGCAATATTCTTCAAATTTGAAAAGCTTTTCCTGAATAAGTTAAATCAAAGGACGTGAAATGTGACTCAAAAAAGAATACATCAATGCAAAAATACTCAACTGGTCAAATTTGTTCAGTTTCTTGTTTGAAATCCATAAAACATATGAAATTGAGAGATACCCCAAGATAAACAAAAATGCTTACATTATCCTGCAATGACTCTTGTACAGTTGGCTCTTTTGGAAATACTTCATACAAAGAAGATACGTATGTCATGATGGATTTTTCATCTGGTTGTTCTGTATTTGCAAGATCTAGAACAGAAATCACAACAGGTTCATATCCACATGGTGTGCAATATTTTACTTGGTAGTATCAGTACATAATTTTGAATAAAAAATTTGGGAAAAAAATCTTTAAGAGTGTAATAGTATATGCTAAAACAGTGGATAGCATTGAAAGCATACTCTGATTGGCAACTCAAACTCCAAATATATCCCTTGTTATTCACCTCAAAACAACTTAAGCAGGATTTACCAGGACCAGACACTAATGGTTGCCAACTGGCCACAGAATTGAAGAAATTCAGTTTTGGCTAGTGGCTTTTGATTTCCACTTGCCAGTTTGGCTGGTGGAAAATTGAAATTGTTGTAACATCTAGCTTGTCACTAGCCACTTGGCCAGTAAGTTGAAAAGTTGTGTCAAGCCTGACAGGGCTGAATAACAAAATGCTAGGTCAGAGGGTAATACAGTCAACAACACAAGCTCAAGCATGCAAGGTCCAAAAATTTAGTGAAATTAGCAGAAACTGATAAGGGCTGACATTTTAGACTGAGACATTTTGTTGTAATCAAAGACATTTTCCCATTTCCAGAGTTTTTAAGGAAAAAATGAATTTTCAAAAATTTTTAGGGGTGTACTGGCCCTGGATGTTCAAAGGTTGGATAACATTATCCACTGGATACAACTCTATCCAGTGGATAACGCTAAAATTTTTTGCTATCACTTATCCGCCAGATAATAATAATTTATCCCTTGGAAAGCACTATCCACCCTTTATACAACTGGGCCCTGGTGATCAGAGCATTATCACAACTTCTCCTAAGTTATGTACCCAGCTTATCCTGGATTAGTGAAGATTATTTTTAGTTTCAAACAACCCAGACTTTGATGGAGAGGAACACTAGGAGGGTACAAAACACAATGCCCTGGCTAACACTCAAGCCCACAGTCTGGAGTTCTTCCCGTTACCCATTAAGTCACTGCCTTCTTCATGCAATAACAAGGTCATCCCGTCAGCATCCTTTACCCTTTGTACACTTCATCACAACGGTCAGGGTTCGAGCTAAGAAATGAGGATGCCTGCTGAAATTTGAGGTGGCTCAAAGATGGTGAAACAAGAGACCCAGACTGGTTCTGGTTCCCAGAAATTCATCAGTGAATCTCACCTGCACTAAAAAACAACACTGAATGGTTTTCATTCCTTGTAGCAAACTGAGCATGTACACTTGATGATCTAATTTTATTACCTTCCACATCTAGGAGTCTGGGAACACCAAGTTCCTTTTCAGCCACATGAAATGAGTACTCCAGGTTTTGATCAGGGCTTGCTTTACTCAACTTGGAGAAGTCCACAAGATCTGGCCTATTTTGTTGGGTAAAACAGTCACAACTCATGACAATTCAATTAAAACTCACAAAAATGAATGGGTGTGAATCATATGTGACTGAAATTCACTTTTCTAACCAAACATAATAAACTTGACAGAATTGTTACAGAAATTAAAACATTTACAGTACCTGTATCTGTGGATAATTGCATTGAAAGCCAATCCATCTTTCCATGAAGTTGTAAAGTTCCCAACATCAACTGAAGGATAACTGAAAACAAGAAAAAAACATATGTTCTTCTCACTTAGCCTCTCTGTAACATGTTAAGCTAAGCATCAGAAAATTAAGGGTTAAAATCAAGCAAACTGAATGAAGTCAAGAAAAACATCGGACACCAGGGTGTAAAATGCACTTAACTTATGACATCTAACTGGCAAGTAGAGAGGTTCATGTTTATTAACTCAGCACGTACCCCTGAGTCACTTTCTTTGCCCACAGAAGAAGTGCATCTTTAGCTGTCATCTGCTCCTGCTTTCCCACTACCTCCACCTCTGAAATCTGTAAATTATACCATTATCTAACAATAATTATATGGAAACATTAACATACATGTACTTATTCTGAAAACTGAAAAAAAAAAACATTTTTAGAAAGATGTTCAAAAGAACCATGCAAGCTATTAACAAAGTAAGGAGAGCTTATTTTCTTTCAAGGGGCAGTGGAACAGTTTTACTTCAGAATTGAGTTATTTACTAATGATTTATCTACCTTTTAAGAATCAACCAACATTAGTGAATACACGGCTAATTTTCTGACCTGGTAGTGTAAGATAATTGTCCATATCAGCCCTAGGGTGAGCTTGGGATTACCATCCACAATGTCCTCACTTCGAATGTTAACCAGTTTCACCTGGAACAAAGTGATCATTACCTCAGGCTTTGAACAACGGTGTCTACATCAGGGGGAGCATCGAGTAAAGAAATCTTTTTAACCTGTTACAACCTAACATGCATATGCATATTCTCCACACTCTTCTCTATAAATTTCCTTAAGAGCTGACAAGGAGAATTTGTTTAACAATCAAGAGCTTCTTTAGTAAGTGATCATTTCCTTTATTCTAATGACCTTACTGTGTGATTCGAGGGTGATAATGTTAGAAGAATTTACAATATAATAGAAGGGTTAGGAAACTTGCAGGAAAGGATAAATTAAAGGTGCTCATGAAAACTGTGCATTAGATGGACCTTAATTTCAAACTAAAGGAGCAGATGATTAAACAAAACCTTTCTTGTTTTAAATACAAATAAGCTGAAACACAGAGAGAAAATCATCCAGTAGAGGTGGGGTGGGGGAGGGGCAATTTGAGGAGAAATATGTGACAGATTTCAATGACACTTCTTAATTACAATTTATCCATGTTTGATGTGTTTTAGTGTTTTAAATTGGTAATTCATTTCAATACAAGACAGATCCTAGGATTTCTTTATCAAGTACACCCTACATGAGTGTTCCACAGTTTTTTATTTCTATAGTATATGATTAAAACTTAGGATACCTGCTGTGACTGAAGAAATTCCAAAGCAGTCTGAACATTCTGAAGTCTGTGAAATCTTAACTGTCCTCTTTCTCTTGGCTAAATAATAAATATCACAAAAATAACAGGAAAATTATGAAAGATCCTCTCATTATGGAAACATTTAGCTTACAATGATGTAACACTTGCACTTTGCAGTCCAAGGTCTACCACAGACACTTTCTCTAATCACAATTTTTTGTGATATACATACCAAGTTGATCTTACAAAGAAGCTCTAGTAGTAATAACAGATTGGTTCCATCTCTTAGTTCCTCATAAAGATCCAAAATTCGTACATTAACCTAAGGAGAAAACCATTTTGGCAAGATTCAAGTTAATAGAGAAGAAAGTTGTCAAGTTATCTCAACAAAATGAGTCTTAGTAAGTAATCTTTCAAAAACAAATATAGCATCATTGAAATAATATTTAGCAAATATCCTGAACAAGCACCAAACACCATATACCTCAAATAAAGTCAATGTGGCTTGTGTTAAGGATGATCACCCCTTTCAACTCCCACATTTTCATCATTTGAATGCAAGGTATAAAATTTTTTCTTCTGTCCCTAACTTAAATGATGAATTTCCGTTCTCATCAATCAATTGCAGCTTACTGCATCTCAATTGTTTGAGTGTAGTTTGTACTGGAATTCACTTTAGACTGCAATGAGTGTAGAGTTGTGCTCAGTTTTCACTACATCATCCAAAAAAACAGGTAATATGAATACTAAGACTTCTCAGCTAGAAGTTCTCACTTTGATTTGTACCAAATTCTCGTGACCAAATTACAAGGAAAAGTGAAAATAAATTACACAGCAATGTGCAGCAGCTAGAAGTTAAGGGTTGTCTAGTGTTATTAGAGTTAAATTCTCTCGGTCTCACGGTTTATAAATCCTACATATCATTCGCCCTTATATACCCTACTGGAAAAAAAATAAAAAACTAATCCTACATAAGCATGAACTGTGTTTTGGATAAGTGGCCCCTGATACAGCTTAAGCACTATTTTAATGTGATTATCGTTGAAATACATCTCTCAATTAAAGCTGTTCTGTAGGAGAGATAGGAGGGTAGAAACACACACTAAGTAAACTTAGTGTAATTAAAGCCAGCCTGGAACTGAATTATCCAAACTGAAAAAAATATTGAATTGCATGCTTGATGAAAAAAAAAAAACATCAAAGGGAACTCCCTTTGAAAACAATTGGGCATACCTCTAGTTCCTGTTTTCTCACAAAATGCTAACCATTATCCTTTTATGAATTCTAACCAGTTTCACTTTTATTTTTTCAAAAAGCTATCTGAGACACCTGAACACTTAGTAAAATATAAACATTTACTTTAATTGTAAAAAGTCCCCTAAATGTTCCTATTCACATATAATGATCTCTTAAGACCCTTGAGAAACTGTATCTTTTCAGCTTCCCCCAGCATGTGCAAGAGGGCAAGAGAATTAACTAAACCATCTTGAGCACACCTCTATACTCATTGCAGTCTAAAATGAATTCCAGTACAAACTACACTCAAACAATTATGAGATGCAGTAAGCCTCTATTGGTTGATGAGAACGGAAATTCGTCATTTAATTTAGGGACAGATGAAAAAATTTTATACCTTGCATTCAAATGACGAAAATGTTCATTTAACCGCACATTAAATTTCGTAACGTATATCTCACAGATAAGGCGTACGTTCTATAATTAGAAGCAACTCAACACACAGTTTAATCGAAAACGACAACTTATTAGAATGGAAATGAAATTGACAAGCTTACTTTCTGAAGATGGTTGTTCACCCACTTTGTGAAAGTTTTCTTCTGAACTGCATCTCTGTGATCTGTAAAGTCGACAGAAGGAAGCAAAGGTTGGCACATACACTTAGTGGTAAGCTTACAATGAAAGTATTAATAAAAATAACTAGCCATCCGAGTTGTTATCTTTGAATGAAAAAAGTAATTAACACGGAATAACTTATTACATAAATATACCTGCTTGAACACCACACTAATAGCAATGATGGAAGAGAAACTTAAAAACTAAAAATTCGTTTTCACTTTCTGCCGTTATATTGGTCAACTGCAACGAAGCAAAGCCCCTCGACCGATAAGGAACGTAGTCTACGTATCAATGTAGTTAAATGGACCACTATGCTAAGTCAAGAGCATCAAATATTCAGAGGGCTACGAAAACAAGAAGCCACGATTTTGAAGGAACGCCGTCTTCTTTTGCAGCAAAACACATGGTGTGGCTTAATTACCTGGCTCGCTCCGCCTCAACTCGATCATCAACTCATAAACATTGTCGTCTTCCTCGTCCAATTCTTCCAACTCGTGGTCCGCCATTTTAAAAAAATCTGTTGTCTCCAATCTTAAGCTCTATTCATTAACCCAGACAAGGGCGATTACTCCCAAGAGACTCGCAGCTTTACTCGAGGTCATTTCACAGTCAAATTCAACTCCCGATCATCAAACTTTGGTCACAGAGCGATTGATGTCATTTAAACTGGACAAGCAAACGGAAAGATGCAAACTCTACCAGAGCACCGAAGTAACCATTTGTATTGGACGGTTCTCCGATAAACAAGAGTGATGATAATTTTCATGCAAGACTAATGTTATCTTTAAATTCCGCCTTCTCAAATATAATGTCAAATGGAAATCTGCACGCTTCGTCTTTAATAATGGCTGAGATGAATGCGTGATGCGACCAAAGGTTCGTATGGACGCGTCCTGTCACTGCTTGCTTTCATGCCAACTGGAAGTCCAATATAATTTTGTGAAATATGAGAGCGATTGCTTGGGGTGTGGGGACAAACATTGTCCGATGTGACCTCCTCTCTGATGAGATATCGTACAGTCCAATAATTCTTAATTTTATGCAAATGCCAGGCCGGATGGAACAGTTCACGAAGGACTTTCTAGATGAATTATTCTTTTATTTTATCCGCATCTTTCGTACAAAAACTTTCACCTGTTTTGAGTAAATGCTGTAGCCGAGCGCATGAGTTTGTTTTTGCCGGTACTTTTAGAGTTAATATGTTAATATTAAAAAATAAGCTTTCTAACTAACAATAAAATAAAAACAATACATGTCTCGCAACTGCGACTGGAAATCATATGTTCACTGACCGCTAAATAATGATGCTATTCGAGAACTCGGCGAAAAACAGGCCGCACTATTTGTATCCTCGAACAATAACAAATAAAGAAATATTGACGGACAGCTCTGCATTTTGTCCTATCTTTAGCTTTCTGTAACAGGTTAAACGTCAAATTATTTCGTTAGCATAACTGTTGGCGTATTTTAAGTATAGCTGCCAGAAAGTAAATTGGAGACACGAACTCTGGCACCGCTTCGATCATTAATTGAAGACAGGGTAATGTCCAATTTAGTTTTCATATTGTTGAACAGGAGAGAAATTTCCACAAAGAGCATTTAACAAGCAGACAGTTAGCAAAGCACAGGGTCAATTAGTTCTAAATGAAACTCTGCTTCTTGAAGAGTTTTCAGCACGTAAACACAAAGCAAACAAGAATATCGTCGTAGTTAACCAACTTTTAAAAATAATGATGAAATTATGCAAAAGAGCGCGCTTACCAGCAATTTTACACACTGCTCTGTCGGCAACGTTCGATGGGCTTCGAGTTCCAGAGCGAGACCTTGGTCTACCGTGGATAGGAGTAGTCGGTCTAGACATAATAACTCGCACTATCTTGTGACAACAAGTTCATTTTCCTCTCAGCCGAAAAATGTCGTTCCTTCTACACGGTCGAATCTTGGGTTTGGCATCACATCCGTAGACCAGAAATTTCCACATGCAAATAGAATTATTATGAGAACTTACGTTAGTCATTGCTGACACTTGATGGCATACCAACATGCATATTCTCTCGGGGCGCTTTACTATACCTTGCCGTGCTGACCTAACGGATTAAACAAAGCAGCTCCAAGGCACTAAATTAAAAGTCTAAAGAGATCGCACAATTTGCCTCTTCACAGACGAGCCACCATGTTTTCCTTGCTTTGAATATTCATTGAAGTTGCTTTTGTTGCGGTTTGTATTGTGATTGGCTAGGCGAGATCGAAAGAAAATGATTTGGAGCTCAACGCAAAACGCGTGACACATTTTTTTTTTTTGGCGCGTAATCCCTCCCTCGCGTTCGAGGTTGTTTTGTCAATAATTTTATTACTAATCTTTCGGCGGGCGATTAGCCGTTGATTTTGCATCAAATGGCACCTATTAGAGACACGGATAGTTGCACTTGGTAAAAACATGAGTGGTATAAAAGCGGGTAGAAATTTGATCCGGTGAGCGATCAAATTGAATATTTAAATCTACGGTTGTTAATTTCACGCTAGGCGACCAACCTGCACAAGAAGACACGGACTGCCCGTCGCGCACCTAGAGCGCGCCTACAATGGGTCAAGGTTACAAAACGTGTGAAATATGATCTGAAGCAGATCTTTCTGCCCTTAAAGCTAGGTAACGACAGATTTGAACCAATCCTTCGCCAGAGATTGAAAGCCTTGCCAAGAATTACGTTCGGTCATGCAAAGGAAATTTTTCATGCACGCTTCTTGTCTTTTGCTATACCCTTATATTTTCCAAATAATTAATGTATTTGTATTACAATTATGTTGAAGAGTTGCATGTTGTGTGCGTAATGAGGCGGGTATTAAGTAAACAGTGACAAGTATTTACGAAAGACTAAAAACATGGGATATATTGAAGATATGAAGACCGACTCATATGTGAAGTCGAAGTCCTTAGCTAAAAAAACTTGAACCCATCAAAGTTCACAGGAATGTCCGCCTTCCAAAGATATTTCAGTCGCGAAAGGACGTGATGTCATCGAGTTTGTACTGCACCGAATTTTGACTATTTCCGGGATTACAAAGTTCGAAATTTGCTGCCTTGAATTTCTCTTATCAAGTTACAATTCCATCGCGTGACAAATCAAATATATGCTCATTATTTGCAGAAACTTTGTAAACAAATGCACAAAACTATTTTGGGGTCTCTGGGTTAAAAACAGAGTAGGGAATTAACATTCCATTGTCGAATTGCCGCGAATGGGAAAAATCAAATACTATTCCCCAAGACGGTCTAACTTAAGAGCCAGACATATAATATCATCTGATATTTCTTCATTCCGAAGTCCAGGCAACTTTGCGACGTAGGATTTTATCTAACTATTACTGACATTCTGTTACGGTAAACAACAAAATTAATTTGTCAGCAGACTTAAATACGATACTTAAAAATCAAGACAAAAGCTTGCCATGACCTTGAGTATGTTTTGTTCGTAATTTCGCCGATTGTCTCACTGGAGTCTGTAACTGGAGGGCTTCCCAAGAACAAGTTAATTTAGAGTTGAAATCTCGTCTGAGTATCATGCTTTTCTGGTCAGACAAGGGAGACTCTACTTTCTCTTTCTCCCCTGCCTCTTTATTTTATTCTTCCTTGCCCCTTCCCCTGCCCCTTCCCCCACCCCCATCTCCCTCAGCCGGATATATCCAGTAAAAAGGTTGGCTGGGATGCTATGTTTCAGAAGCGTGGGAAAGACTGTCGGCGATGTGGAACAATGCGGAATTCGATATTGCTTAGTAAAAATCACCGACCTATCTTTTCTTGAAGTATTCATCACGTGCAGGTCGTCGTGCCCGTGTAATCTGCGGGTAGGGAAAAGGTAACTTGGAGAATGTTGATACCTCACCCTCCGCAAAGCTTCCTGTGAGCCATACCCTCCTCTGTCTGAGGAGTCCATTGCTGGAACTGGAGAAGCACATTCCGAGATTAACATTTGCTGCATAGCAATGCTGTTTAAAAGCAAGATGAACTGTGCGCTTTTTACAACGAGTGAAGGTGCCACGCCTTAGAGAGAAGTCAGGATGCTAGCAAAATCCACATCAATGACAGCACCTGACGGTCACGCTTCTCTCTAGATCTCTTCCTGCCCTTCTTACTTATTTCCATACTTAGATCTCACAAGGGAAAAAAATGGTCTCGGCGCTTTTGCGTTCCGGCGAGACATAAACAGAGCGTAAAACCAAAGTTTCGAAAGTGTATAATTAGGCGAGAGTTAAGAAGATTAATCAAGAACCCCCTTGCCGAGAGTGCGCGATCGCGGGAGAGTCTTGCCGAACATGAAACTTTACGATCCTGCAGGTATTCAGCGCAATTTCAGTGCAGTTTATCGCTTTGATTTGAGACGTAGCCCACAAAAATGTTTACATCGAAAAGCAGCTCAGCACTTTAAACAGGCGCACACGACCCCACGAGCTGTTAAGCTTTAATTTTTGAGTAAAGGTTTTTACTTACTAAGTAATACGTGCTAAGGTTAAAGGAAGTGGGTTTTCTTTTTTTTTTTTCCCTTTTCTCACAGCGTCTTTCCTGTTTTTTGTTTGTTTGTTTGTTTTAACAATTAGTAGGTGGCTCGCTACTGCAGAAAACATTTCCGTTGGTTGATTACTCATTCCTGATGGTGTCCTACTTCGATTCTATTGCCTTTTCTGAAAAATTATCACCTTCAGCTGACAAATAAAATTCAGGAAGCCTGCACTGCTAGATAAGAAATTATGGGTCCCTCCAGTTTCTCGGAAATTTCTTTTTCTGTGGCCGTGGCCGTGGGCGGGGCGTATAGAAACAAATCGTGATTGGGCGTGAACTTTCTAAGGGTTCCTTTGTGATACATAAACATCGCATTTTTTTACAAATTAAAAATCGCTAGAAAATTACATGCAACTTTGAGCTGAGTCGTCGTAAACTCCGACGCTGATCACGGCGATAACCTGCAGTATCATCGAGCTGTATTCGCAACTAGTTTCGCACTGTGTAATGTAATAAAGATAATCATTGCATGAATCAGGCGACCGAAAGTGCCTACATAAACAGGATCATTTATAAAAAAAAAAAAGGAAAAAAAGAAAAAGAGGTCCAAGTTGAAAAAAACAAGGTACAAGTTGAAAAAAAAATGTTCAAGTTGAAAATATCAATTACGAGGGAGGACCACTATGTAAGGGAACGGTTCAATTCGTAAATTCCACACGCCTACAATTCAGATGTACCCTGACAGTTCACACTTTAATTTTCATATTGCGAACATATTTGTAATATTTCCTTGTGTTTTTAATAAAAATCTTGATCATCAGAATGAACGTAAATTTACTAAAAAGTGTGTTAAAAGCAAATGTTTCCACCATTATCCGCATTCTAACCAAAAATGGATGTTAAAATAAGCCTAATTTCAGACGTATGATGGTTACGTCTTAGCAGAGACCAATAGATCACGATCTTTTGCAGGACCCATACGTGCGTAGAATTTTTAAAATGAAATTCATCTAGAATGAGCTAAATAAGACCTAGGTTAACTAAACTTCCAGCTAATGACACAATTTCGCTATCGATACTAGAAATACGGGGGGAATGTCATTTATCTTAATACTTATAATGCATTGTGCGATTCCGTCACTAAGTACTATGTCGAACTATCATGATCGGAAGTAAATTATGCTTCTTTTACAATTATCTATATTGAAAATTACAATTGAGTTTAAAAATGTTTTATCATCAGCATATTGAGAGAAGCTACAATCACTTTTCGTGATAACCTTCAGATATACCCCCGCTGTATAAACGAAACCTCCTGGAGCGCTGGTCCCAACTTGAGTTATTTCCGTTAGCGCCTGTCACGTAATCCTTAAGAGATTGCGTGACGAATCAAAAGCTACGCCGTACACCATTTGCTTGCAAAGTTTGTAGGACGTAGTGCAAGCAGAAAAATGTTCATTCCCAAATCAAGTGCCGAGCTTCTGTTTCATTTTAACCTTCATCTTTATTATTCCATTTTTTTTCTTCTTTTGCATGGTACCAAGGATTCGAGAGGACTGGATTCTTCTGGAGACGAACTTGCTTCATCCTGGGGTAAAAATCAAACAAAACAAAAGTGAGTGAAATTAGACACACTAGGCGCGTTGTATGAGGCACATACAGGGTTGGAAACTCTTACCGTGTTACTCAGGGTCCAAGCCCTCCTCGACAGTAGCCAGTTGATAATGTGCTTTTCTCAATTCTCCTAGTTTTTGACGTTCTTTAGTCAGCTGGCTTTCAAGCTCTAGAACCCGAACCTAGAGAGAGGTAAAATTATGAAGTAAATCGCTTTCACTGACACAAAGTTCTAGACGAAGATAACAGAAAGAAAATCCAAGGGCTTGAGTGTAGGTGCCACTGTTAGCAATTCTCTCTATGACAGATGGATGTAGATGTTGTAGTTCAATTTTATCCTTGGTTCAAATTTTATTTTCCTTTGTTTCAAACTCATTATCATACATTAACATGATCGAGAACAAAGGAAAATAAAATTTGAACCAAGCATAAAATTGAACTACAACATAGATACCTGTGACTCCATTTCAAATCTCTTTGCCTGGGTGAGGCTGAGCTTGGTGTAATCTGGTACTGCTTCTGCGCAAATAAATCAAGAAAATGGAGGTACCATCGGCTTTACCCCTTTGACTCCCAACATCTCATCTCTAATTCTCCACACTTTCTGTCATAACATTCTTATGATATTAGTTTGGAGAGTTTGTGTAGGATCATCTAATTAATCTCCTAATTGATATTTTTCTTTATTCTCATCACTTGTTCGCTTGATATTGTATTGATAATGTTAGGAGAAATTCTGCCTTGGTCACTCATACGGGTTAAAGATTCAATACTTGCAAATAAGTCAGCTTCAAAACAATGCGCAGCTTTATAACTTAGTGTTCAACACACGATAGTGCTCGTCGCCTATTTGTATCGTTTATATCTAGACTCTACTTTCACATATGACTAGTGGCGCTAAGAGTAAAGCCTAACCACAGTTATCACAATAGCCAATCAGAAAAAAGGAAAATATCACATGGACCTGAAGCGCGGGAAAACGAGGATGACAGTCACGACTGGTTTAAGGTTGGCATCTCATTGGCTTAGAGGGTGGGGCGCAGCTGGTGCAAATATGTCAACAAAGCCTATTCGCAGGTTGGATGAAGCGAGTCTTCTGCACCAATCGCAGATTGTAGAGAGGAAACCCTGGACAAATCTCGGATCATACTCTACACTTAATTGAAATGCACTCTGCGACAAGATTTCTAAATGCTTACTGCTGTCCTCTATCATTTCAGCTCCTGTTTTAGCGGATGCCACCACGCCGGCCGCTGATTCAACGACTGAAACATAAAACAACAGTTTTAGACAAAGCCTCTGAATAAAAAATAGACAACAAAACTGATACAAGAAAAGGCTGAACGTTTCTAAAGAAACTGTGGTGCTGTGTCGGTGGGGGTAACAAGGTAATTTGGTTATATCAACTAAGTTGAAATTGTAAATTGGCCACCGTAGGGCTAACGTAGACGAAGGGCTAACCGTAGACGAAGGGCTAACGCTCGAAATGTTAGCTTTTTTATTCGTTACGGTGGCCAATTTACAATTTCAACTTAGCTGATGTAACCAAATTACCTTGATGCAAGAAAAGTCGATTTTAAAGTTCTGCTATGACACAAAAATAACTTCAGTTTTGCCAAAACGAAGACAACTTCATTTCCTGCCAGAAGAGCAACATTGTTTTTGTAAAAATCTTGCAATGATATTTATGGCGTTTGATGCCAACTTGGCCTTTTCATACGAAAAGCAACACCCTCTTGAAAAAGGTGCCAGAAGTAGTCGTAGTTCCAGTGTGCATTGACATAACCAACATACCATTTTTAGAGGCCCCCTGTAGAGCAGCTAAACCTGTACTAGCTTGTCGAGCTTTCACTCTAGAAGCAGCCACCTGAACAGCAAATGAAAAATTATTTATCAAACGAGTCATTCTTGAAACAAAGGCAGCGGGGATTGGAGGAGGAGGGTGAAGGGGCCGTTTCAAAACGTGGATGGTCATCAGCAGCCTTGATAGTTGCTTAATGTTCTTGTAATTTAATTTAATTTAATAATAACTTCTTATATAGCGCATTAAAATTGAACTCTATGCGCTTTACAATTACAAATTAACAAAATTTCAATAAAAATCCTATACATGCAATTTTCGCTCCATGCAATTTTCGTAATCACTTTGTGCCAACGCCTCACACTATTACGCCGAGCGCGATTCTGATGCTACAATATGTTCAGAGTCATTCAAACTTTATACTGTCCGTCCAGCCGGTGGCATAATCCATTCACTAGCTTTTACATTGTAACATGAACGAGATTGTTACGTTGAGTGTTTCCCTCTAAGGTATGGAGTGTCCAAAAAGAAGTACAAAATGAACAATATCGATCACTTACAAGCTGCACTGTGCTTGCTGTAATTTCATTGGATGCTACAACTATTTCCTCAAACTTGCCTTCCCCCTGAACAACTTTGTCAGCGGAGTCACTGTGGAAACAAAATGAGGGTAAGTCACGGTATAATGGCTCATATCCTAAGATGACTTTGCCAATGAAAACACTAGAATTACGCTATACATCAAAGAAGGTTTTGAAAATGATTTTAAAATGGAGAACCTCCTTGCCTTTCGCCATGAAATACGATCATTTCTCATGAGTTAGTTTCCTTAAAGAGTAATTTACAATATTGTTAAGGTTATCACAAACAACAAGGCGACATGCTAAACAAGTGATTGTTTGAATGAAGAGCTTCAAATCACCAACTCGGATCTCAACGTAACATCTGGTCGAATATCGTAACTCATTAAGACTTGCGCACCAATCGATAGAATTCAGACATGCGCACCAATCGATAGAATCCAGACATGCGCACCAATCGATAGAATCCAGACATGCGACGGTCTTTAGGAAAATTTTAAAGGTGCTGGCAGACTTGTTTCAAACCATCAAACCCGTAAGAACTAACCATATATGATAATACACCCGTTCCCTTACTGGTTGAAATTTCCGCACTTACACAAGAACTTTAGCTCCCCAACCAACAGCTTTCGCAGCTGAGATGAGCCCCTCCGTCCAGCGGTGGTGACGCTTGTAGAACTCTTTAGCTGTTGCTTGACCCTGGGAAGCAATTCTCTTTGATCAGGCTATTTAAGTATTTGAAGTTTAAACAAACCTTCCCCACTGTAACTGGTCTTCGAATCACAGCTACGCTTCGAAGTTTAATCAGATAAACCACATCTCCTTCAAAGAGCAATTCATCCTAAGTTTGTGAGCATATGGAGTTTTTTTTTTTTTGCTTATTTTATTTCTATCACAACTGTTTTTATTCTCAGTGTGTTAAATATTAATCGTACTGTCGAACAGTTCATTAAAGTCATCATATAGTTACTAAATTGACTTGAAATCTCACGACAAAGCTCCTTAAACATGATCAAATTATTGTAATTTTCATTTTATCAAATACCTTGCCCTCGTCGACAATCTCCTTTTGCAAAACTTTAGACTTCATTATCAATTTCTTGATTGCCTTGAAAGAAGAGCACAAAAAATTAGCGCATTTGTTGAGGGCAAAAATATACAATTATCTAAACATCTACTGGATGATATTTTATGAAAAGGAGGACAGTTTCAATGACTGAAGTTATTCCGTTCGAAAGAATGTGTCCACTACTTTCCCAAAAGGTAAAGGAGAGTCTAAGTTCGACTTTAAACAAACAGATAGATTTTTTTTTAAACGTCGCCAAACTCATGGATTCTCGCGCTAGGGGATTGTGCTAGACTGTTTACATCTGCCCCCCTCCCCTCCCCCCACGCACACGCTCCCCTCAGACAAATTATGGGATGGACCCTTTTACTGGAGCTGCCCTCTTCCCAGCCTCACTCTGCGTATCAAACTCGTGCAAAATTCTCAGTCGAATGACCATCGCACAATACGTAATGCCTTGAAATAGGGATCCAAGTCAATTGTGAATTGCAAAGAATAAGTAACTCCAATCTCTCGCAAGTTCAAATTACCTCCATCAGTGCCGTGCAGGAATCCAGAATTCTGTAAATAAGCACAGAGAGGGTACATCAGTATGACCAATCCAACGGATTTCAAGGTCTTATCTCCTTGTATTTTAAAAAGCTAAAATATTCCGTCGACAAGGAGGACTATGCGAATAAAGCCAAAACAAAGACAGACAATGACTAAGTACTGCTGTATGTCACTTTCTCACCTTCCGTTCACTTCAAGTTGCACACCGCTGTATTTTTCCCTTGTTTGGTTGATCATTTCCTGAGATCATAAAAAGGATTAGATCAGCACAGACAAGTTTTAAAAAATGCATGAGCAAACATGAGTGTTTGAAATGAACTTAAACTGTATTTTGCTAATTTTCCCAAAGAAAGAATTGTTCTGAACTGAACGTGAGCAAAAACAATCATTATAATCGAAAACGTCAAGAAATAAAAGGAACCAATGGAGAAGTTCGAACAAATACCTAGAGTTCTATATCCAAGCCAACACGTGACATTAATGTGCGTGTGCGTGCTAGTAAGCACGTGTGCGTGTGCCAGTGCGTGAGCGTGTGTAAATACGTGAGCCGGTACGTTTACCAGTACGTGTGCGTGAGCATGAGGGTATGCGTGTGCGTGTCTTGCGCATGGTGTGTGTGGAACGTGATAATTTTTTATCCAAAGTGTAAAACTGACCAGCAGTACGAAAAACATGATTGAGAGAGAACAAGAATTCTCACCTGAATCCTGGCCGCTGAGTCTGCTACAAGCTGAAAAAAAAATAAGAACAAAGAGGTAAAACATTTGGTTCCTTTAATACGAGTATTCCCTCCACGACAACTGACTACAATTAAACCAATCCATGCTAGGTGCTTAAGGAACTAATCCGTGAGATAAACCACAATAAAACCATTTTTAAAACGTCTCTAGTCGAGGGTTCCGATTCAATAAAGGTTTTAGAGGTTGTCCCCTGAATGAAGTTTCCACTATTTAATGTCTACTATCGTGAAAACTTGAAACAGAGGCTAAGATGACCCAGTCACGTATTACAGGTGTCCCAGAAACGAATTCCACATAAAACTTTAAGAAAGCGACCACAAGGGATGAGAAAGTGAAGGCAGACAAAAGCAGATGGCCTGCAGAGCAGGCGTTCAAGTAAAGTTTGGGCGAAAATTAGACCGCGCGAAAAATGGAGCGAGGCGAAAACTTAGGAGGTGGGGGGAGGAGTCTAATTTTCGCCCAAACTTTACTAGAACGCCTGCTCTGCAGGCTAAAAGCAGAAAAAACGCCCAATCCGTCATTTGGAGAGAAGAGGATGAATGAGACCAGGTAAGGAGCAATGTAAGGTTGTTTTAAGATTACAAAATATCTCTTCTACCCAATCACAATTACACACTGGTCGTAGCTTTTTTGACAAATGATCGACAAGTGTATCGCACTTTCTTGTTTCCTTAGTCGATTTTTTTTCCAGTTTTTACGCGGGATAAATTTTGTCGGCGGTGCGTTTTAGGATTTGTCCGCTACGGCCAGAATTCGTCATGTCGCGACCAACCATTCGCGTTTGCAAAATGTAGGTGATAACAGAAAATTTGCCTAAATGAACAGCTCTTTCGCTAATGCAGAAAGGACCTAAGAAACAAACAAAACAACTCCATAACACGATCAAGAAGGGGACTCTCTATCATCCCAGGAAGTCACATTCCCTCCCTGGGAGTCACATCCCCCCCCCCCACCCCCTCTTTCCTATCCCTCAGATAATGAGCAGAAGGAGAGGTGGATACAGAAATTAAAAACAAAGTCAGAAAAAAAAAAACAACAACAACAAACCAAGATCGTCTTACCTCTGCAGTAGCATTGATTTCATCGTCAACTCCACCGCCAATACTATCAAGACTGTCTTTTTCTTTAGGTGCGAGAGCCTGTTGACAAAGTCAGTCGGGACACAGTTTTAACTGCACCACTGGTTTCCCGTAAAAAGTTACCTCTACACAGGGATTCCGTATACAAAGGGTTTTGAGTTCAATGTTTTGTTGTCTAGCTCTTAAGATCTCTTAATAACATCAAGCTGACAACAAACAAACAAGCAAAATAGAGAACCGCATCTCATTATCTTCATGTGAACTTACCTCAGCAACCTTGGTAATATCTGAGATGCATTTTTTTACGGCATTCACCTTGTCAGCAAGAGCGTTTGGATCTACAATGACAATAGAATCAATAAAAAAAGTTGGCTTCTGCCTACGCCCTCATATGTTTTACCTCTTAGAAGCTCAGAATACTGCGGCTTAGATCGCTTTTTTGATTGAGTTTCGAACGAAAGCAATCTCGATGGACGATCATCAACCACATCTCAGTGACAGTCTCATCTTGCATGAGTATATTAGCTCAGATCAGTCGGGCAAAGCACGCATTTAACTCCAACCTATTAGTGATCATCATAAATGCACTTGTTTTCAACAAATTATACTATTGCTCTTCAATCTGGTCTAAACCCTCTGCCAGTAATATGCAAAAACTACAAATTGTTCAGAACTTCGCAGTTCGGATAGTTAGTGGTGTAAAGAAATTCGAACACATAACTCCATCACTTAACAAATTGGAGTGGCTCCCCGTAAAAAAAAGCAGGTTTACTTCCGAGATGCTAATCTCGCATTTTGGTGCATGACGGACCGTGCCCCGACCTATCTGATGTCACAGTTTGCCACAAGAAGGCAGATATCGGACCGAATAACAAAAACTCTCAACAACTTAATATTCCTTTATTTAAAACCACTGCTGGTCAGAGATCATTTCACGATAGGATGGTAAAACTATAGAACTCGTTAGACAGTGATTTGAAACTGTGTAAAGACCTCACTAACTTTAAGAAAACTTTAAAATCAAGGATGTTGAATGAGTTTCTTACAACAAAATAGTTTTAACAGATAGTTTTACATTTTTTACTACACATGTATATCTTTTCTTCTAATTGTATTGTACTGTTCACTGAAAAACCCTTTTAGGGAGTGTTCAATAAACTTATTACTATTACTATTGCTATCAACGAAAGTAGCACAAGTAACTAATCGCAAACTAATTACGCTTCCGTAACACAGGTAAACTGCCTTGAACATAAAAAAAAGCGAGAGACTGGGTCGCAGTAGTTTTTTCTATTCAATCTAATGGTTTAGAGGGCGGCGTGAGTTTTTTGGGCCAATTACAAAGAGTAGTCAAGAAAAGTTAAGCTGTCCTGGATAATTTGCGACACTTGTATTGAGCTGTAGGAGACTTTACTAGGCAAGCCGGAGATCAATAAGAAGGCAGCTTCTTGATAACAAAACAAAGACAATAAAAGGTTACCATGGAAGCCCACCTGGATCACTTTGTTTGTAGAGTTGCAACAGTTCGAGGGAGGCCTTGCCTGCAGATTCACCGTGTGATTGAAGATCTTAAAGAAACGACAACAAGTGATTATAATTTGCGGTCAGCCTGTGTGACTACTTATTAAAATAACTCTTCTTGGCTTCATTCAATTATCAAGTAAGAGCGCAGCCCTCGTGTCGCGCAGGTAATTGGCGGGATATCATCCCAGTTTTATCAGCACGACTGTTAGTTCTAATATTCCAACTGATGTTAAGAACGGTGGGGTCTCCTAGAGCTCCCACCTGCAGCTTCTTGAGTAGGTGCCATGTGAGAGGTGGCCTTAGCATTCAAAATACAGTCACTGAGCTGATGTGAGAAGGAACCAAGACAGCATATACAGGGAATGGCATCTGCAAAAGGAACAGAAAATCTCAAGGAAAAAGCAAAACAATCTTCTATTCCTTTCTTTCTTGGATTGATTCAAACATTCCGAGAAGAAATTAAACAAACCAAAACAACCAAAACAAAGAATCAAAAACAAAACTGATGGGTTCATCCGTGGTTTCTAACCTTTATGATCTTGTTTATAAGATGTAAACTTTGTATTAAGCTCGTCGATAATGCCCGGAAGATTCTCGATTCTACCTAGCAAGTAATCTGAAAAGAATACAAAAATCAACAGTGAATTTCAAAAGTGAAATATAAGACCGGACACCCTAGTAATCCCATAACTTCCATGACGTGGGAGTAAAAATAACTCTTCGACCATTTACTACCGTTGATTACCAATACTTGGACAATTTCGGGGAAAAATTAGCGTTTCAGAACCACCTGCCACAAAAAAAAAGGGTTTTAAACAAGTCGAAATATCAGTTTAACGAATAGATTCCATGTTGCCTTGGGTCTGTTCAGCCTAAGATGTCAAAATTTGGTGGCCCAAGAGGCGCCGCCTAGTGTGTCGTTTATGGTCGTACTACATTTTTGACGTCCTCTGTGATCTGCACTGACTCACGGTAATATGCAACCTGTTTGTTTTACATGATAAAAAAAACCAAAAATGTTGTTAATGGTGACGTCATCTATGTGTCTGTCCTCCATTAGATCAAAAGTAACAACCAATCAAAATGCGTGTATCATTCAGCCTACCATACAATAGTCCATCGACCAATCAACAAACTGGTAATCGATCGAACGATGAATAAAACATAAAAAATATACAAATAAAAAATTTAAGCAATTATATATATGCATAAACATAATTAAACATAAACGAACCGGTTATTTGTCCTTCGATTTCAGATAGCAATCGGAATATTAGAATAGCGGTACAGACTTATTTGTAACTGTCCACCTTACTAATTCATGTGAACGAGTATTTGTCAGTCAAAACTTCCCAGAGGTTACTCGTACCTGCAGTACAAGTCGTAGAACTGTGCTTCGGATTTTGAAACTGATCTAAAGCGTCTTGGATTGTTCTTTCTGCTGAGTCTATCGCCGTACCTGAAAGTGAGGAAGGCTATTATAAAACAGAGCAGATATCTAAAGATCTGGGATCCAGAGAGGGAGCCCGAGGGACCCTAGACCATAATCCTTATTGAGGACTAATCACGTACACGAAAATCTCAGCTAAAAAAACAGTAAGCATACACGACTCATGATTCAAAATGATCAAACTGCAACAGGCACCCCCGCCCCCAATCCCTTCCTCGTGTCCACCTATCTGGTCTCTTAGAGCTTAAATCTGCCAATCCAGTTTACAAGGGTGTTAATATCATCTAATCATTATCACTAATTTTTAATTGTTAATTATCATATATTCTCAAAAAAAACTGATATATGGTACAATAAAGTTGTTATTGTCACAAAAACCGTTTTATTTTGTCATCAAAGAACGTTAAAGAGAATTACAAAAATTAATGGTTTCATATAGAAAACAAGACAACATAAGGAACTTAGAGAGCTGAGATTGGATTTACAGCTTGCTCGGTAAAGAAATTCGAAAGCGTTCTGAATGGTCTGAAACTCATGGTAACATGCGAGTTCTCGTATTGAATTAAAAGATCCCCTTTTCAATCATAACAGTCCTGGTTTTTCTTACCCACTAAGTCTTGCTTTTCTTTAGAGATTTGTTCAAGTCTTTTTCTTTCAAGCTCATTTACCTTTGGAGAAAAAAAAATCATCAGTTGCGGTATCATGCAACCCTGTCACAACATTGCCAAATATCCCTTCTCAATTTACAAGTTGTTAAGTACCAAACTAATTGAAACAGCCAATCAAAACTGAGGGAAACATAAATAGAAGCCGACGAATAGCCAAGCTAGGAATAAACATCTAATCATAGCATGGGAAAACAGAAATGGTCAAGGTAGGATTTCTATTAGCTTCGCATATGATAGGTTAAGAGACTGGCGCGAGTTATCTACACCAATCACGTGCGTAGTACAGTGACCAAGTCGTGATTGGTTCCAGTTTTGCATCTGATTGGTTGAGAGACTGTTGCGTGAGTTTTCTGGACCAATCATAGAGCGAAGTTATGTACAACCAATGCAATCACGGATTACTTTCGACACTCAATTTAAAATTGCCCTGAAACAAAACTAATGCTGTACAGGATTACTTTCGACAACCTGTTATAAAAAGCAAACTGACCATTTCTCCGTGTTCCTTTCTTTCTTTTTCTATAGCTTCTTCTGCTGTTCGTTTTGCCTCCTCCTCGACTGTCCTACTTTTCTGAACATCTGAAAGCTGACGGCTAAGCGTTGTAACCTACAAAAATAACATACCAAATGCTCAGTATTTGGAAAACATAACTATGTGACAAACCACAAGTAAGAAGTGAAGGAGAAATTACCTTTTCCTCGTGATCTTTTTTCATTGCTTCTATTTGTTCTTCGGCGGTTTTTCTAGCCCCATCTGTTTCACCTTTTTCTTTTTTTAAAGTCTCCATCTCCGCCACAAGAGTCGAGATCTTCAATAGGAAAGACATCAAAAGAAAAACAGTTCTTGGCAGCATTAAAATGGTGCAGCTGCCCCATTTCCCTCACTTGACTCTGTTCTTTGGGTTTTATCAACTGAGTTGATAATGTAATTTGGCCACCATCAAGAGTTTCAAAGATAACGTTTCGAGCGTTAGCCCTTCGTTAGCCCTTCGTCATTCGCTCTTACGAATTACATATCAACTCAGTTGATAAAACCCAAACTACCTTGTTACTCCCACCGAGGTAGCACCACAGTATCTTTAGAAAATTACCCCCTTAATTCATTTGACTCTGTTCTGTCCACCACGCAATCTGTACCGTGACTTGTTCCACGTGTTCAGCGAGTAAAACGATGCTAAAACCCCTACGAAATAGCAAACAGCGCGATAACAGCGGCAGAGCGGAAAACAACGGATATTTAAGTCAGTCATTCATTCCGCGACTCACCCAAACCTCACTCGTTTTTCCAATTTCCACGCCGCTATCTCGCGCTTCGTTTAACTTAAATCGAATCATTAAGGTATGTCCTGTAATAATATTGGAGATGAGGTCTTTTTTCTTTAGCCGACCCGTTTGAACACAATAAAACCAAACTTTTAGCTACATTTTTTTGTCTGATATGAAGACCTTTCATCTCGTCAGGCGAAAGCCAACGTCGATCTAAAAAAGCTAAATATTTCGAACCTTCTAACTTCTAGCCTCGAACCGCTACCCGCAGTTTGAAGTTTGCGGTTAACACACCAAACGAGGATCTAAAACTATAAATATTCAGTGCCAGACCCCGAGCAGATCTCTCGCCATCTCGCGTTGCTCAAGGCCTCGTGCGGGCAAAGAAACTCTCGTGCCGAAGCACTGATAATGAGGGCCTGCTCGCGGGCCACGATTGCTGCTGTTATTTCTTTTTTTTACTCGCTCGCCCAAGGTTCTCAATGAGTCACAAACAGAGCATAAGGAGTTTGGGAATACCGTTCATACAATTAAAAAAGAACAACATAGTGTAACACCACTGACCTTGTCTTCATGTTCCTGTCGTTCTCTTTGAATGGTCTCTTCCGCTGATTTTTTTGCCAGCTCTTCATCCGTCCAGCTCTTCCGAAAATTCGATAAATCGCTGCTAAGTGTTGCAATCTAAGGAACGAAAAAGGGCAGCATGGAGTGCAGTTCGATTAAGTGTAATTGCAGCGGCTAGTCATAAAAAGAGCAATTTTCAATTGAGTGTCGAATGGATCCAGGATTGCATTGGCCCTGCTTACTTTGCTCTTTGATTGGTCCAGAAAAATCGCGCCACTCTCTCAACCAATCAGATGCAAAACTAACACCAACCACGACTTGGTCGCCGCGTTTTCCCGCGCTTTAGACAGTTTGGTCGGTTTTATTTTTAGTTCCCCTTGGCTCTTATAGGCATTTTTCATTCCTTTGATTGGCTATTGTGAGCACTCGAACTAGGAGAGTCAGCGGTAACAGCTATACTATTGATCTCGAAATCTCCCTTTCGCTTTGCAAGAGACAACGATAAGTAAATAAATAATTCAATACTTTTTCTTCATGATCTTTTCTCATGGCTTCTATTTGTTCTTCGGCCATTTTCTTGGCTTCTTCTATTTCTTTTTTTTCTTTTCTTAACACCTGAAGCTCTCCCATAACCGTGGCCATCTTCAAACGGAAGAAAATAAGCAAAGTGAGTTTAAATATTGTCGCATTCATCCACAATTCAGCTCATAATTTAGGTATACCATATTTCATTGAATAAGCGCCTACACTCTTATAAGAGCCTCCCATGAATTCAAACAAGGGCCCCCCTCGAATAAGCTCCCCTATCCACCCTCGCTTTTACTTCAATGAGTAGGGATACACGGAAAACTTGTTTCGATTGCCACTTAAGTTATATCTTTTAAAGCTTCAACTACAGCGGAATCAGTACAGGAGAGTAGTTTGCTTGCACGTCCAGTTATTTATGTATACGCCTACGTGGATAATGGTGTAGTGTATTTTATCAAAGATGTAACCACTAAGCGCTCCCCCCCCCTCCCCCCTCTATTAAGCACCCTCATTACAATAAGCGCTCCTCCTTTAAATTGAAATTTTAAATAAGCACCGGGGCGCTTATTTAAGGAAATACGGAATTACGTCCTAGTGAGAAGCTAAAGAAATCAGAACAAGCAGGGCTGTGGTCTGGCAGCGCCCGGTGGCCTCTGGCGCCTTACTTTTGCTCTTGGGTGACTAAGGAATCTTAGTTTTTTCATAAAAAGCATATGCTGGGCACCCTGGATTTCAGAGTTTCAGAACACTGGGCTCCCTTCAATTTTTGTTGGAGCACAGCCTTGACAAGGGAAAAATCACAAAGTCAAAAGATTTCCGGTCAAACCGACTCTGCCTCATGATCGAGGAAACAAGACTAAGCGAGTCCTTATTGGTTCTCAGTTTGAATTTTATAAGTTTATAAGGGGGCGCAACCTATCACTGTGTGAAGCGGTTTGAAAAGCAAGAGCTCAACCACAAGACACAACATCATAGTTCTGTAATTCATACCTTTTCATCGTGTTCCTTCGTCAGTCTTTCAATTTCATCACCCGCTCTCTGAAAACAGAAGCCAAGCGTTAAGTTGATCATTCATCCTCCTCCTTTAAAAAGACGTTTGATGGGTTATCTTCTTGAGGAACAGCGGAAAAGTACTTTTGGTCGCACACTAAAAGCTTAACCAGGTTACTGTTTACAGGCAGACTTTCTAAGTTATTCTAAAACTGCCAATTCAGTATGTTTCAGTTACCTTGCCATCCTGTTCAGCCATTTCCGCTTTCTGAAACACTTGTAGAAGTTCTGTGGACTGTAAGGAAAACGTACACTTTCATGAGATAACGACTGCTAAAAAAAATAAGTGCCTTGGGGCATGTGTTACGACTATCGGCAATTGTTCTCATGTCTCTACTCGGCCACTGTCATTCCATCTACATCGAAAAGAAGCCCAAGAGTTCAAAAACCCCCCTCCTTCCCCTCCCCCCTAGAATTTTGTCATATTGCAGTGGAAGTTATCCAACAGTTTACACCCTGGCATCAGTATGCATATTGCCTATACAGTTGTCAATGCATTTCCTAAGATGCTAACAAGGAGAATTTGTTTCCCAATCAAGAGTTTCTTTTGCTGGTGATCATTTCCTTTATTCTCGTGACCTTAATGTTTGATTCAGGGGTGATATTGTAAGGAGAAATTACATGCTGGTCATTCTAAGGGTTCTAGGGTTAATCATATTTTTTCAATGATCGGGAACTGTAATATATAGGTGCCTCGTCGGAGAATACAAATGAACCAGTCCAAGCTTCAACCTCTCATTGTAATCACATGGCCAACATAGTGGGAAGCGATCTTCCACAAGTGCAATATTACGACTCGCTCGTGAAATTCAATTATCGCTGCTTTTGTTCAAAGGATAAAACTGTACCTTATCATCTACTTCCTGTTGAAGCCTGTCATTTACTTGACTTAATTCCTGACAACAAGAAGGGTAAAAATCAAACTAACAAATGAACCATCATGAAACGGTGCAATACCGTGATGGGGAAAAGCTTGAACATTGCGATTAGTTTATAATATATGCAATATAGAACGTTACTGGAAAAGTCGATGTATCAAATTAACAAACAGATTTCTTGTTCTGTTCAGTAAAAGATCGCAGATAAAGTCAAAATGTGACAAGAACAAAACAGTGGCACACGAGGTGCAGCGCAGTGTATCAGTGATGTTTTTACCACATTTTGACATCTTCTATCATCTATTACTGAACAAACCCACGGCAACATGGAATGTACTTTTTAAAAAAGATAAAAATGCAAAATTTTGTTACTGCACTTGTAACGATGTTAATTTATGTATGTTTCTGTCTTAGCGAACACATTACAGCACTGTGACGTCATCTATACATCTGCTGTTCTCCAATAGATCAACGATAAGAACCAAACAAAATGCCTGTGTAATTCAGCCTATCACATAATTTTCTTTCATACCTCTTTCTCCTTTTCTGAAGCATTCAATTTTTGCTTCACTTCGGCATTCTGGTTCAGAGACAAAATAATAACACTCTGAACACAATCAACCATACCAACATTCAGACAGTTGGTAAGTGTTGTTAGATCGACGACTTACATGTGCATTGACAGGTGAATTTAAGACAACGTAAAAACCCATTTAATTGGAGGATAATTTTTGCACGAGTATAATGAAGTTCCTAAATTTGGACAAATGTATACCCATTCATGTTCATGTCATGGACACGAGATGAAAGAAAAAGATCTAAGTTCCTCTCGTGAAATTCATCCCCAACATTTTCTGATTTCCCATCCTGATGCTCTACGGTTGAGCAACAGAGAACTCATTTATGAGCTTAGCCACGAACTACAGTGTAGGTCCCTCTGAGACAACCATCAGGATTAATGATGTCGAGAGTTTTTTGTATGCAAATCTATATAAGAACGATGGTAATTTTTCAGCTGGGTTGTTGAAAACAGAAAGATGTTATTCCTGTTGTCACGAGTATGACACAAAGAAAAGCACTGAACCCCAAACAATCAATCAAACTCAAGAACATAAAATTTTGCAGTCCAGTTGACACACAATACTTTCAACACTGCTGATCACTGCAATATGAAGAATGCTTCATATGACTGAATCTAGTGTATAGGGCCTAATGTACTGACAAGTTCTCTGTAGCTTAGTGGGAGATCAACTCAGATTTTTTCTCTCTAAATCAACGTACAGTTCGCAGGAGCTGGATGTGTTCCTCTCTTAGTTTACTGTAAATCCCTTTGAGTTTGTTAAATTTCTCTTCTGCTGGACCTTTCTGATCTGCAATGGATTGAAGTAACCATTAGAACTGCAATAACATTTTAAATAAGAAACGAATCAATATGACTTGTATGTAAGTAAACATTTTATCCTCAACATTGCATTTCTCTCTCAAAGTCAATGGCCAACTAACCTTTCTTGTCATCCTCTTTGCTCTCAAGGTCTTTCTTTAATGAAACATTCTCCTACAAAGGAAATGATATCTCAACATTACCCCAACTACCTAAAATATGCTAACACTTGCAACACAAGAATGAAAATAAACCATCTAACTTCAGTACCTCACAAGCTTTCTCTGCAATTGTCTTGTACTCATTTAGTTCTTCATTCAGCTAAACACACAAAAAAAATCAACATTTAGTAAATAAACCCCTCCAGGTGGTTTCTATATCGGCTGAAAATGTCTATGGCTGGTAGATCATCTGAAAAATAAATATCTGGCCAAGAAACCATGATTTGAGGGAAAATTTGAAATGTTGAGGACAATTTCTTAGCCAGACATTATCAGCTGACATACCAGCAAGCCAGAAGGGATTTATAACTATTATCAACTGGTTTATTTTCCCCAATTTTCAAACCTTATATCCACTACGATAAGTCTTTGTTCGCAACTTAATCCAAGGTGAAAGAGCATTTTATGGTTGTTGCAGAAGAAGGGAAATATTTGTTTGTTCATAAAGTCCTGACAGAGAACATTCAAAACATACCACGTAACAAATAATCTGTTCATAAACATTTTTTCACCTGTGTTGCCAAATATTTGAAGGATAATAAACAGAATATTTTTTTTTTATTTATTTCATTTATTTGAGGATTTATACCAAGTACAGGAGCAGAAACAATAGGACATGGGTCCCCTACAAGGTTTAAGCTCCAACAAACCCACCCATCCCACCCCAGGAGAGGACATCCATCACGCAGTAATCTCGTGCATGGGAAATTAACGTCACTTACCCCTAACCCTGCAGGAGACGGAACCTCCATTTATTCATCCCTATCCAAGAAGACTAAAATATCTAACCATTTCTTGATGTTATAGAAAGGTAGCATATTCTTCTCATTTATTTTAAGACCTTGAGTGTTGGTCCGGCCGGGGCTCGAACCCTCGACCTCCCGCACAACAGTCCAGCACTCTATCCATTGAGCTAACCGGGAGGCGGTTAAAAATAGCCTCATTTGTTGTAAAAATATGCTCGTCTATTTGTCCTAGGGCATTGTCTGCTCGTCAAAGCTCACAGTTTTCCTCAAGCTTTGTTCTCCCAAACTGTCCATATCATGGAACAGACAATATCCAAAGCCAAATATCCATGCATGGTTTTGCCCAGATAGAGGCTATTGTTCAATATATATCCAATGTCATTGATCACATCAGTACTTTGAAATGAATACTTTCAAATATAAAACATTAAATTACAATTGTTTATCCCTTACCCTTGCTATCTGGGAGCGTAAAGAATCTTCAAGCATTTTTGCCTTGAGACAAGCAGTGTAAAAAAAAAGATTAATAATCTAATAAATGTTAAATTAAATGGAGGGGAAACCATGTTATTTCTTGATTAACATTATCCAATATCACAAAATGCCTCTAGACTGCAGCATGAAATAAACACTGCCTGGTTAGAACGCTGCAGTAAAGCTAACATTGCCATTTCAACCACTTTTACCACAAAATGATAATGAGGATCAGGCATATCAAACAAACAGTGTAGGATAAGCAACAAGCTATGTGGTGAAAGAGCAGGGATAGTAAGTCATACCAAGGCAATCTAAACTGCACTTTCTCACAAAGAATATTAAATTTTTAAGTTGTGGAGATACATAAATTTGTGTCAATTTTCCTTTTCCTGACTTCTTTCAAAGAAGTAAATTTTCTCTCACTCACACTGACTTTTCCCTGATCTTGAAGAATTTCATTTTCACCATGTAGTAATAATGGTAAAAAAATAATAATACTAACGACGATAATAATGACAAAACCAAGAATAATAGCAATTTAATTTGGAAAGAAGCTGTTAGGGGGAAAGTTTACCTACAGCAGTATGAGCCTGGTCACTGAATACTACAGAACTACTCACATCTTTCTGTTGACGCTCTAATGCCAGCTTTAGTTGTGCAATCTCTTGTCGCAACTGATAGATTATCAGGTCCCTAGAAAGGAAAAAAACATTCTAAATTGTTGTCTTAAATTGAAAAAGTATCACTGTGTTTGTAATGTAAGTTTACACTATGCAGTTTGGTCCAATACAACTAAATGGTTCATTCATAACAAACAAAACTTTCCCCAGACTTTTTTCCAGTCTTCAGTCAGAATAATAATTAAAAGAAAAGGAGGAATAAAACCCAAATTTGTCAAGGAACAATTTAAAAATTAATATTTAAAAATAGTTTGAGAGAATTTTCAAAGAGAGTTAACATTGTTCCATACTTTTTTACTAGTTCATGACTGGGTACAAACCTTCAACTATTAAATATCCGTATACTTGCTTCAGATTTCAAAAGTAGAAACAAACCTGTTGTCAGGTGCAGGGCCATTTGAAGAGTCAATTCCTAAAATATCAGCCTCTGGAGTCTACGAAAAAAATAGATACCTCTTATTAACCAAGTTCAAGGTCCATCCTGTAGGTTGCAAACTGAGTTTTTTTGCACTCCAATTAATGGTCCAAGCATGACGCATGCAGGCCAAGGCTTAACAATAACGGTAGCCCACTAGCCACAGACTAGTAGAAATTCAGTTTTGTCCAGTGGTTTTTTATTTCCACCGACCAGTTTGGCTAGTAAACAAACTGAAAATATTGTAACATCTAAGATATCACTAGCCACTTGGCTTAAGTAAGTTGAAAAGTAAGTTGAAAAGTTAAGTAAGTTGAGCCCTGAGGCCACACATTCAAGCAGAAAAAACAAAGTTACAAAAAGGTAAGGATACTAACTAAAAATATATATTTATTACATCTCTGGGTTAAAATAAGGGGAGAAAATTGCAATTCAAACAAACTTTTGACTTTAGCAGGCGATATCGTGAATTACAGCCTGCTAAATTGACCAATCATAGTGGCAGCACTAACTGAGAAATATGAAAAATGCTCTTCATATTACAGTCAATGATAATATTTCTTGCTTAGCAATTACAAGTGCAGAAACATCAGAAACTATTTTTCAAAGAGTTCAGAAGAACAAGTTTCTGAGTGGTGATCATAAATTTGATGAATTTTATTCTTTGCAACATGCATTGTTGAAACCATGCAGTAGAAAATGTAGCAGGTAACTTGGCTATGAATCTCAGAGTTCAAGCAAAAGCATTTTGATTTAAAGAATAAAAAAAGTGGTGACTTTCCAGTTCACTTCCAAAATCTGATTCCAGTTCAATTCTATCACTTTGCCTGTATTTTAAAGAGCTGGATTTGTTGATACTAAATTTAATCAATACCTCATTATGCCATTGTCATTACATTCTTCTTATAAGAGTGAATGCAGTCACTAAATGCTTATTTACCTGTGGAGTTGTCTGAAGTAATGGTTCAGTTGTAACAGGTATATTAAGTGGCTCCATTAGGCTCTGGCGCTTGAAATCTTCAGCAGGAGTTGACTTTCGTCGAGGCCCTTCCTCACTTGTGGATCTTGCCAAAGTTGGCTTGGGGTCAGATAATGTGAAAGAAGGAGGATTCTGTGGAACAAAAAAAAGTTCACACCAAGTTCTTAACCCTTTCACTCCAAGAAGTGACCAAAAAGGATTGCATCCTTATAAAATCAACATGTTTTTACCCTATGGCTTTAACCCCATGAGTGATCAAGATTTTCTCCTTACAACATCAATACAATACCAAGCAGACAAGTGATGAGAATAAAGAAAAATATCAATTAGGGGATTATTACTACATAGAATATCAAATTCTCTGAGCTAACACCATGACAATTGTATAGCAGACAGTGAAGAGAATTACTGAATGATGATATCTTGAGAGTGTTACTACAATTGAAGAAAAATCAAACATATTCTCCCAGAGCAGAGAAACAATATCAATTGCAAAGGCAGAAGGGGGGTATGGAATAAGGTAAGCCATTTTTATTTAATATTTTCACTTTTAACTATCTCTATAGATATCTTGAAGAAAATCCCATACAAATCCTTATAAATCGATATGCAAATTGTGTTCCTTAATTGCGTGGTTCTTAAAGACAGCTTGGGCCGCCCGTGCTCTGTTCATGATAAACCTCACGAACGAAATTAGACAAACGGTAAAATGAAGCACTTTGAAAATTCGAGAATATTATATCCAAGTTGAGGTCAGTATATTTCCATTCTTCTTTACGCTTTTTGAGTTGCTAGGATTTCTAAAACAAAAACGATTTTGTTTTTGTTAATGGTCACGCATACACAACATGGCGTGATTTTANTTTTTACATCTTTCTGTCCTGTGATATTGTCCTTATGAGCCTGTTTACAAACCAAACCGTATCTCTGACAAGGAATCACAGGCTAGGAAATTTCTTCTGATTATTTAAAGCAACAGTTCCCTCTTGAAAGATGAACAACATACAATAATATTTGTCTAACCTGAGGTAACATTGGAATAGGAACCAGAGCTTTAACGTAAGCCATATTACCAGCATCAAAAAAGAATTTCTTCAATCTGAAAGTTGAAAAAATAAATTTACATAAATTGCACTGAAAAGAATAAAAACCAGTTAACTAATATATACCTATCAGGAACTTGACCATGAATTATACAGTCAAAAATTATATTTTGAATACTTGAATAGAAATAGTACATGTATATGGAATTGAATAGGACATAAAACACCTACTCAGCAAAGTGAGAGTAAAACCTCTCTCTGTGGCCTGTCAGAGTGTCTGCTGGTAAGTCTAAAAGGAACAATAATCAAATAAATATAAAATATCAAATACTAAAAACAGTGTCTTCTTAGAATCTGAGTTTCCTTACAATTCAATGAAAATCATATGAGTAACTTCAATCTAGCCTTGAACAGTTTGAAACTACTTGACAATGACAGTTCTCTCCTTGAACACAGTCTTCTCCATTTAATAACCATACTGATGGGTATGTCTCACTGAGATATTATGGGAAAATTCATTACCTGCAGAGAGAATTTTGTGTTAAATTGCAAGCGAAAACTGCATGAATTGTGAAGCAATGGGTGCAATGTTGGTTTTCAAATGCAATTTAACGTTGAGTTCACAGGTCAGGTTAAATGGATTTTCCTTATATATCATATTAATTGAATAAAAATAAGAAAAAAAATGATTACAGCAATAATATTGTTTGTTTATATCCTAAGTACAAAACAAGAGATGTGAAACAATATCGCTCTCCACTGCAATTCCATGCTAAATACCTTGCTTTGTTAACCAATTGCAATCAGAATGCAAAATTTTATCTAATTATACAATTCTAGTGTGAAAAAGTATAGTGAATGAAGTAAGCCAAGGATTTTAAAGATCAATGTCCATATCTGAGCAACAGCACACCCACCCCTCTCTTAACCCAAGAATAGTCAACTGATAACAAGTTGGGATAATGCACAATTGATAGTTTGATCATCTGGACAAAATTGTGGGATGAAATTGACACTTAACAATACATAAATATATTGAAAATACTAAATCAAAACACCAATGGTTCTAAACTGCATGGGAAAAGAACAAAGGTTCAGAGATAAATCAATGGATAAAATCAATAAAATTAATGTGGTACATAAATCAATGCAACTTACTTGCATGCAGTTTATACATTAAATCCACCACAATGTCATAAAGGCCACCACACTCCTGAAAAAATTTAAAAATGGGATAATACAATCAAAAAATCTTATAAGCAGAGTGATAACTTAGCAGAGAATTAGACTACACCATCACAAATTGCAAAGGGTCCACATGCATTTTATTTGGAGTTAATAGACAAAGAACTCTTGATTATTTCACTGTCATGATCTGAATGTAAGTTTTGCATATCTAGTGTTAAATATCAAATACAACAATAGCCCTCAGCTAGTTGATGATTGTCTCTATTCTGATAACCTGACTATGTATTGATATTTTAAGGAGTGCAATTCACTTTAATTTGTATCTCCTCTGGGAGTGAAATAGGCTGAGTTACATGTAACAGTTACCTGAATGACTACAGGGAATGGGCAAATCCTACATTGTACAGCCTGAAGTTGAGAATTAGCACGGAATGGATCAAGAGTGCTGAAGACTGACAAGTAAAGACAACAATAACATCAACAAATGAAAGACAGCAAATCAGATGGTCATACATAACAAGAATGCCATGGTTTCTAAGAAGCATATTCTATAATACTGGTTAAGTTAATGAGCTCTTCTTTACATTAGGATAAAGGGGAGCAAGTTTCCAAGGAAACTGTGGCACTGAATTAGTGGGGGTACAAGAAGGTAATTTAGTTTTATCAACTGGGTTGATAATTTAAATTGGCCACTACTGTAAAGAGTTTGTTAAGTCAATGTTCAAGCATCGGGCCTTAAGCTTCATCAGAGCAAAGGATAAAGAGCTAATGCTTGAAAAGTCTGCTTTAGAAACTTACTATTTTTACAGCTTTCTATCAGGGAACCTCTTTTTTGTTTGTGTTTACTTCTTTTGTCGCTCGAACCAGTTAATTAGCAGTAAATTACACTTAATAAATTAGAAGTGCAACTTATTGTATCATTTTTTATATTGCAAGAAGTCCTCTGGAAAATGAAGAATTCATTGACAATAATGCCATTGAATATAAGGTGACTTACTTTTTTTCTCAAGATCCACTAATGTGTCCATGTAATCAAAGATATCCACTGCCAACTCAAAACTACAGGTAAAGGTAAACAGTTGGGAGTTATTCAAATTATAGTCACTCTACTAAATAAATGACCATTTCTGATTCGGATCACACAGATAAAATCTGTTCTGCATCCTTGTGGCCAGCAGAACAACAGAGCTCATTAATCCAGTCTGTGTACAATCAGAGCACCACGAGTACTGCCACTCCATCTTAATTGCTGGTTAAACCACCCTTCCCTTCCCCCCCCCAATGCTTCATCATGTTTTCCAAACAGTTTACAAGTACCCATTCATACTGCAAGGTAGAATAAGTTACACTTTCTTGGCTACAAACAGCATCACCATTAGTTGATGCATCATGTATGAAGAGTTCGCATTTATGTGAAGAATAACAGTGCTGTTTGTACCACTCTAAATCATTCAATGTTGGCTAAAAGTTCATGGAATCACAATACAACATTGTTTGGGGGGGGGGAAGGAGGCAAATAGGTTATTAAATAAATAAGCAAGGGCAAAAGAGATAAAACTGAAGAAATAGGGGGTTGAAAAGATCAAAGTATCAACAGTTTTGTTGCTGACATAGGAGCCCAACAGAAAGAACCCACCAGGACTCAAACCCAAGCCTTTTAACTGGGAGTCAGGAGTACCAACCCCTCCCCAAATGCCTCTCTCATAATGCAGTGTTGAACAAAATCTTTCATGAAGAATCCAATATTATTAATATGTACTTACTAAGCATTTACATCAGTTCCAGCATAGACTAGTGGTCCACCCTCACTATTTCGAAGTGTACCAGGAACAGCTTCATTCTAAAAAGATGTAATCGCATAATTGTAATTCAGTAAATTGTGGCTGTGTTACAAAGCAATCCTACAATAAAACTACAAAAAAAAAAGATTTGGCTGAGAGCAGCCTCAAAATTTCAAATGAGCATGTACCAGTATGTAGAATATAATTATGTATATTTGGTGGACCACTTCCCTCAATGGGGCTTTACAGGGCCAATACAAACAAATTGGGAACAAACATTGTGAATAAACATAGAGTTGAAAATCCCATCTAGCAGGAGACAGACCAGTTGGCTACATACAAAGTGCAGTCAAGGAGTTGAACTTATGACAATGGAGAACAAATCTGAGAAGAAAGGGCTTGAACTTGGGACCACCACATTACAAGCTCAGCACCCCAAACACTTTGCCAAAACTAACAAAGGTGCACAAATGCACTGCCACACTAAACATGTACCAACAGGACCAAATAAAAAAATAACAAATCTCCTAATGTCACACACAACTGAACAAACTACTTTTTGACTCTGTGTGAAAATAATAACAATATTTATAAAAAGATAAGGCTTAACCTTCTGATGGAACTCCAGTTTTGCTATCAAGATTGCAAGGTAACTGTGAATTAACCAGCCATATCCACCCTTTGTTGAATGTTTCTGTGCAAGAAATTCGTAACTTAGACATTTTCTATTAATTTTAATTAGTATCAAGTCACACTAACTTGAGGATGTATTTTTATATTATTATCTTTTAGCACCTTTCAACTGTTGTGAAACTTTGATAAGTTAATAAAAAAAAATAACTTATTAAGTATTGTTGTGAAGACAATTGATTCCAAGTAAATAATTATTCAAGTTCAATTCATCAAAATTTAAACATTGAGACTTGACTGGTCAAATAACCATAAAAATTTTACAGAACCCAAATTAAGCAGACACAGACCACAGAAAGCCTCTGCCAGTTTTTCTTCCCCTGTGTTTTGAAAACAGAACAATTATGAACCCTTAACACCCTAGCTACCATCAGTGAGCATATTCTCCATACTGTTCTCCATACCGCCTCCCGGTTAGCTCAATGGATAGAGTGCTGGACTGTTGTGCGAGAGGTCGAGGGTTCAAGCCCCGGCCGGACCAACACTCAGGGTCTTAAAATAATTGAGAAGAATATGCTACCTATCTATAACATCAAGAAATGATTAGATATTCTAGTCTTCTCGGATAGGGACAGATAAATGGAGGTCCCATCTCCTTCAGGGTTAGGGGCAGGAGAATTTAATTTAGTTAACTTCCCATGCACGAGATTACTGTGTGATGGATGTCATCCCCTGGGGTGGGATGGGTGGGTAACAGGACCCCCGTTGATACCAGTGTTTACTACACTCTAGGGGCTATCCTGTATAAATATAGATGTCTACTTCTACTTCTCCAAACATTTGCTATTATGGCATTGACATGACCTTAAAGTTTGATTCAGCAGCGAAACTGTAAGGAAAAATACAGTTAACAGAGGGCGCTACACTAACGGTAGCCTACTAGCCACAGACTAGTAGAAATTCGGTTTTGGCCAGTGGTTTTCAATTTCCACTAGCCAGTTTAGCTAGTGAACAGACTGAAATTGTCATAACCTCTAAAAACATCCAAGATGTCACTGGCCATTTGGCTATTAAGTTGAAAAGTTAGTGTCGAGCCCTGAATTAATGCGTCTCTCTTAGGAATGACATGGTTAAGCAAACATTAGCAAGTCCCAGGGCACTAACTTGAGGCAGGATCTGTGCCTGTTTTCAAAAGGATTATGTTGCAGAGAGTTTAGAGTAAACTGCACCTGGTTAATGTTGATTTAACTCACAATAGCAATAAAAACCGAAATTTACACACAAAAAATGTTTGATCCTTTTTATGATTGCAACTGTTCTTTCAACACTTTTTCATTGAATTGCAAAATTAAACCCGAGTAAGCTGTCATGAAAATTGTTAACAATAGTACCCAGAAATCTCTCATGTCCTTCAACATCTGCTTGTATTTAAGGGATTCCTTTAAAGCCTGTGCACAAAAAAATTAATGTATAATAAAAATTGTGATCTTGAAATCTTACAAGCAAGGGCATAAATACAAGGGGGGTTGTGGAGACACAGAATTTCTCTTTGAGCATTTAAATTAACACATGAACAAATGATTCTTGATGAGCCACACTTTCAAGTAGACAATTATCAAACAATGTTAAATTATTACACTTGTAAAACAGTGGCAGTTTAAGATAATGAATATTAAATTGTATGTCTCACAGCGTAGAGTCAGGTTAATCAATTGCATATTGATCACAGTGTTTTCACTACTATACTGATAGAATTCTTCAGGTAACAAAGTCAAATTGTTGCCATCCGTACATTTGATAGCCTGCAAAGCCACAATGAACAACAACATTTTCTATAACTTGGAAGTTTAAGTAATAAATACACAAGCTATTTATATCAATGACCCATCTTGTAACAAGTACACAAGTCTGTATGATACTTACATTTGGGTGTCCTTCTCTTAATAATTTGTGTATAAGCAGCATTGCCTTCCAACACATAATAACTTGGGATGGGAGGGGCATCCGCCCCAATGAGTTCCAAAAAATAGAGGCTCCTTTCTCATGCCATGTTCCAATAATTGCACATGTGAAAGGTTAAGAAATTCATTACACTTTCCTGGTCCAGGGCATAGAAGAGATGGATACCCCCCTTCCCTGCTGAGGATCAATTACTATCCAGTGGTGTGGTGAAGTGGTACACTTATCCAACCAATTCAACCGGTGGATGGAGTTTCATATTTAGACGAGTGGTGTATTAGTTACAGCAGCTGTCTGTACAGGTTTGTAAAATGAGGAACATGAAATCCATTTTATGCTACAAACTCTGTTTGCCCTAAATCCATCTTTTCATTTACATCCCACAACATGATAATTTACAGACTACATATTTATAGTAGTGTAATAAGTGCACTTGGGCCATATATCTCAGCAGAAAAAATTTGGTCATAACTGATAGTACAGAGCTTGAACTCAGTTAGTAAGAGGTATATATTAACCCTTTACATCTACATAATCAGTGTACATACTCTCCATACTGTTCTCTAAACATTTCCTAAGCTGTTGAAAAGGAGAATTTATTTAACAATCAAGAGCTTCCTTAGTTGATCATTTCCTTTATAATCTCACAACCATAATGTGTGATTCAGGGGTGATGTTGTAGGGAGAAATTATATTCTTGTCACTTGTAGAGGTTAAAGGGTTAACCATTTATTATGGTCCAAATAATTCTCTTTGATCTAAACTTCATCATTTTTCATGAAAAGGATATTTCTGATGTGTTTCTCTTTGACTGCCGATTCAACATTGTTGACAGCTTTTCCTATAGCTTCTTGCTGCACAGGCAAATGAAGCAAAATAAAAAATTATGAAAACTTGGAAACTAGTTACCGAGTAAGTTATTAAACCAGTAACCAGGGAGTCTTTTTAACTTAGTTTAATACATACAATGAATACATATGAAGTTCATATACTTTGAACTGCGGTATTAAATACATATGATGCACGATCCTTCGCAGTAGATAGCGCTATTTATGCAATAGTGAAAATCAGACCTGAAAAAAATCAGACCTGTATGGGATTCGAACCACTGACCTCTGGATACTAGTGCAGCACTCTACCAATTGAGCTAACAAGCCAACTGGAAGCAGGCCGTTAAGTTGATTCGTAATAAACCCATGATGATAAATCAGTTACAATGAATATATATGAAGTTCATATAATTATTTTGAACTGCGGTATAAATACATATGATGCACGATCCTTCGCGATAGCGCTATTTATGCAATAGCGAAAATCAGACCTGAAAAAAATCAGGCCTGTACGGGATTCGAACCACTGACCTCTGCGATACTAGTGCAGCGCTCTACCAATTGAGCTAACAAGCCAACTGGGAGCAGGCCGTTAAGTTGATTCGTAATAAACCCGTGATGATAAATCAGATACAATGAATATATATGAAGTTCATATATTTTGAACTGCGGTATTAAATACATATGATGCGCGATCCTTCGCAGTAGATAGGTCAGTGATTCGAATCCCGTACAGGCCTGATTTTTTTCAGGTCTGATTTTCGCTATTGCATAAATAGCGCTATCTACTGCGAAGGATCGTGCATCATACGTATTTATACCGCAGTTCAAAATAATTATACGAACTTCATATATATTCATTGTAACTGATTTATCATCACGGGTTTATTACGAATCAACTTAACGGCCTGCTTCCAGTTGGCTTGTTAGCTCAATTGGTAGAGCGCTGCACTAGTATCCAGAGGTCAGTGGTTCGAATCCCATACAGGTCTGATTTTTTTCAGGTCTGATTTTCACTATTGCATAAATAGCGCTATCTACTGCAAAGGATCCTGCATCATATGTATTAGTTTAATACATGATACTTTGGTTTTGTCAACTGGGTTGATAATATCATTTGGCCACCCTAAAAAGTATCTAAGGCTGATATTTTGGGTGTTGGTCTGACATCAGAACAAACAGAAGAATTCTGGATTAGGTGTGATCTATGTAAAGAAAGGTGGACTGGCACTGTTGGTGAGGACATGTTAACATGAAAAATAATCTAACATGAATAAATTATTGGATTAAAAGCTTCTTTGAAACTGTGGAAATTAAGGCTGGCAATCTTAAAGACTATTTTGGTTCCAGAGTTCTAGAAAGCCAGAAAAGTCTAGAAAAAAATTTATATTTCAAAGCTGCCCTCTTAATCCCCATGGTATCAAGAAAACTTTTCATTCAACTAAAATATCCCTTAATCTGGTGACTTAAGTCATAAGAAGCGTTAATTCTTATTTGACATCATCTCATCAAGTAAATGAAAAAAGCATTAAGGAAGGAGATTTTTTCAGAGTTTTGGCAAGATACCAGAAACATGTAGCTACAAATCTGCAAATAAATTGGTGCCTGTTTGACTGAGTCAGGGGCTATATATACATATTAAAAGTGTGAGTTTTTTTTTTAGCTTTCCATACTGTGACAACTAAAAATTGTATTTTATCCTTTGGAAAGTGCTTGTCATGAACGATTTTTTCTGCATGTTACTAATAGCGCGTGATTATCTCACTCTCTCGTGTTTAATGTGCTCGAGTTGTTTCTTTATGCCCTCATTCAAAGGTGATGATGGCATTTATGTTTACAAATCTGAAAGGAACTTGACAGCTCTTACAAACGTCGCTCTCACTTAACCCTCACGTCAATGTCGTGCGTCAATTCTGTTGACTGTTCAGTCCGCTGTGAACATATAGCGTACCAAATATATATAAAAAAAAAAAACAGTTGTTGCCATGTGCAATATTTGAATCACGCTGAAAATGTTACAATGTAAACCCGTCATTTTACTAAAAATAACTTTCCAAAGCAAATCATTCATTCGGCATTGTTATTGAACGAGGCTGATTTGCGAATGACTGGCTCGAATCTCGCAAATGAAACTTTTCAAGTAAAATGTGTAATGAAATGGCTAAAAAACCATAAAAGATTTCTCAAATCATAAATCAGTATTTCACTACACTAACGTGCCACCCAAATAGAATCACGTTCGATAATTGCCGATAATCAACCAATATTTTCTTTCGAGCTGAGAGTTTACCTGGTCTCTTTCGAGTTTCTCTCGTTCTTGAGTTAAGCTTGGCTTCTTACTCAGTCCAAGTGCTGGGGCGCTCATGATTTACCCAACTAACATGTCAAACAAAAGATCAATTCACGTAAAGGCACGTTTTCAAGCACTGAAAACTTTCAAAATATAAGCATCGAGATATCTCGTTCGCAGAAGTCAACTTGGCCGCCAATTTCTTGGAACGGTCAGGGCACTGGAAACGAAATAGGTTGGTGCTTGGTGAAATGTATGCAAATATTACCATATATTCCCAAATGTTCCAATGTATTGATACAAGTATGAAGGATTTCACCAAGTACCTACAACGAAATAACTCTTTTCCAGGACACCCTGTCGAACGCATTTAATCCTCTCTAACTGCCTGACATTTCCTTGAAAATTAGTTACGAGAATTTGGTCTTAGGTTCAGATAAGAACTTCTACCTGATAAGTTTAGGTATTTTCATGACCTGTTTGTTGTATAATGTATGGATATCACAGGGAAACGTTACATGTTTTAAAAATCATTTTGTTGTAAGAGTCTAAAACTTCCAACTTGTTGGCACCATCGTTAAATGATTTTGTTTGACCGAAAAGCATTTTCAACGAAAGACAAGCTTATGATTTTGAGCTGAATAAAACCTTGATTATACAGGTAACTATCCGAATGTTTACTTTGCGATTGCATTTGGAGTAAATAAGCAAGACTGTACTGTTGGGGTACTAAAGAACAGTGGACGCACCCTGAATGCGAAAGCGTCTGAGGTGACTCTTCAATCCAAACTTTGCAAAAATCAGGCGAGTATTCGTTAAAATTTTATTACTCTTCCCATACTTTTTGGGATGAGCATGTTGAACTTTTGGCATGTATATCATTACACTGACGGAAGCTTTTTTGAATGCGCGTTCGGAGTCTTCTCTTCAAGTATAACGAAGTAAATAGAGTGTAAGTTTCTAAAGAAACTGTGGTCCATTGGTGCTGCATCGATGGGGGAATTACAAAATGATTTGGTTTTATCAATTGAGTTGAAAGTGCAAAAATTAGCCACAGACGTTATGAGGGTTGGCACTTTGCTTTGAAGAAGTCTAGCCTAGTTAGGGCTGACTAGAAATTGACCGACAGTCCCTGGGTCTCCGAGGATGTAAACGACGCAGAAATAATGTAAATCTGAACTAACGGAAATCAGCCGAAATATACAAAATACCGTAAAAACCCGCTGATAAGCCGCACCCTGAATTTAGCAGTTCAAATTTTGGAAAAAAAAGTTTTTTGAAAGAAATCGAAAGAAATCCAAAGTCGAGTCTTGAGAAGTCTTCTTCATCCGCTGTTCATCGAACGTAAACTGAATATTAACATTGCGACGGAAAATACTTCAGTCTTACCTATAATTTTATCACTTTAGTGTAATGAACATCGCTTCTACTAACTTTTGACATATGATTGATCTTTTTCTGGTATTTGTTGACAGAAATTTCTTCATTCAACACAGTTTTTCCATAGATTTTTGGATTGCAACAAGAACGTGAGGAGAATATTTGAAGCTTAGTGACTAGGCATTAGATCGGACGCAAAAATGGAAAACTCCGCAGACAAGCCGCACCCCCAATTTCTAGCGACGATTTTTGGAATAAAGGTGCGGCTTATCTGCGGGTTTTTGCGGTAGTCAAAATACGACATAAAACAAAAGACAGAAAACAATATAAATGAATAAACGAGGTACGTTTTTGATGAAACTGTGGTGCTGCGTCGGTGGATATTTTAGTTTTATCAACTGTGTTTATAAAGTAAATTTGGCCACCGTAAGAGAGTTTCATCGCTGACGTTTCGAGCGAGCGTTAGCTCTTCGTCAGAGCGAGTGGAGAAACTGCGGGTTGTGTGTGTGTGTTTAGAAACAGAAAATGGAGCTACGCTATTGGTGGGAACATGATAACGAGAAAAACAAGAGTAACTATTGGCTGAGTTCAAAGCGTTCGTTGATACCTATGGGATCAAGGGTGCCGATTTGAAAGATAAACTTTTGTCCAAGAGTTTTGCGGCTTTCTGACCTACCAAAATGTAAGGAAAGGCCGCAGAGAGCGACATGCTGTTTAGGATGATTGAGTAGATTAAAGCGTCTAGCGACTGGTTTTGATACGTCGTTTTCATTCCTCTCTACGTCTCGAAGATGTTCTTGGAATCGTTCACCTAGTCGTCATCCTGTTTCACCAATGTATATTCTTTTGACAATAGGTGCAAGTTATGTAATAGATGAAACTGACGGAGGAGCATGCGAAGTGATCAGTAATCTTAATAGATCGTTTAGGTCTCGATATTTTCTCAATGTTATGAATGAAAGGACAAGTTTTACATCGTGCGCGAGTACATTTGAAAGTTCCGGGTTGATCCTATGTACATTGCCTATGTAGTCTAGTGTTTTTTTGTCGCGTTTGAATGAAATAAGTAGAGGTTACGAAAGGAGGGTAACACTCTCGGGATCGTTTTGAAGTAATTTAAAGTTTTAAGAATAACGGACTTAAATACGTGGCTGTGAGGGTGAAATGTGAGAGTGAATGGAATGTGGTCGTTATTTTCCTTTTGTGACGTTTGTCGTAGTTGGGCGCGGTGGTGGCCCGCTTGAACGACAGAAACAGGATAGCCATGTTTTCCGAAAAACTGGCCCATTGCCTCTGATTTTTCGAAAAAATGAGAGTCATCGCCGCATAAACGAAAAAGTCTAAGAAACTGAGAAAATGGAACGAAATTCTTGACCTGTGTTAAACGATAAAATTAAATCTATATCTAATCTGAAAATATTGTAAGGGTTTCCTTATATTGGTGATGGGAAAAAGAAGTGGAAATAATATATTACTATAAGCCATTCAGTACAAAATTATAATAATCAAAGTTGATTATTTCCTATTCCCTTTGGCGGCCTTATCTTACAGGTAGAATTTCTGTCACCTTTTTCTTATTGTGGTTATGAACTTGACATGAAAGCAGATGTTCAGTTTCTATGGTGATTTGAACTTGTGGTAGAATATTTCGGTTATCTCGCGGTAAGCTATATTTCAATTATGTTGATCTGCTTGATAAAGAAGTGAGTAAATCGCTCTGGTAAAAGTTAATCTTGTACAAGAATTACTGAAAATTCCTACTTCTTATACTTTCGACTATTTTCAGGCTCGTTTATACATCAGATTCTATGTCAAATTCACGATCAAGAAAGAACTTCTTAAACTTTGATTTGATACCTTCAACACCTCTTTCTTTAGGGTGACCTTAAGGGAAAACAACTTTTACTTTCCGTTCTCCGCACTGCATTTTTAATTAGATAACTTGTTCTAGGTGTACAGTGGGTACGCCCTTTCTTCTCCGAACTTACTCTTTATTCTGTTGTTATGTAACGTTCTCCGAATGCTATTTTCTCTTAGGATATTGTTTTAAGTGTGATTCTTGTTCTGTCGATAAGTTCATTATAATTTTTATATTGTCAATCTTATTTTTGTTTTGCCCAATCTTGACCGTAAGAGCAAGAAACTTAAGATAGAAAATGATTTTGTAAAGCGTAAATATCTCGAAGGTACATACTTAGTATGCAGGATCTGTTTCTCGTAACTTAACGTGATTTGCTAGCTAAGTGAGAAACGATGACGATGCTTAAAGACTGATAGTTTAGTAAGTGTCACCTTTATATACTGGTACCAGCATTCTCACTCGATTTTGAGTTAATTCCAAAGGCAGTAACTGAGTTGTGTAGAATAGAAACGAATAAAGAAAAATCGACTTTAAAATTGAGTGTTAGAAAAATACCTTTGACAAGCTGGTGGAGGACCCTGGCATATGAATGGTCGCGGTAGTGAGTTTCAACAACAACAACCTCTTCGCCTCCCACGCTCTTTGCCATGAGTACTTTTGTGGAGCTTGCAATTCCAGTACTAACAGTTACAGCGACGCCTCAGAAGGCAAGAGCCTCGAAGAACGCGTGGCTCATAGAAACTTTTTTTTTTTCCAGTTCTAGGAAACTGAAGAGCGAAAGATACAGAACAGTCAGGACCAAAGGCCAGGACATGATACAGAAAACTCAGGACCAAAGACCAGGGCAAGATACAGTAAGAGAAAACACATCATTTTGAATATGGTTACTTCTGCTGTGCTCTTTAGACAAGTTGAACATTTTTATGTCTTTTTCCATATCTGAATCATTGAAATTTAATTTGTTCCCTTGTACTGGGTAGGTTTAATGCTGATGTATGTGGAAATCTGTGACCACCTAGTCAAATCCTTACTCGATCGCAAGTTCAGAAAAAGAACAAAGAGACAAAAACCATACCCACCACTTGTACTTGCTCTTATCGAAACACTGCAACCACTACTCAAATTAGTATTATGGACGAACAACAACAAGAAATGTTTAAAACGATGTTTACAGATATGTGTAACGCGCTTCCAGAAGATAAAGCTAAGGAGTCGCAGACACAAAAAAGACATTGGACAAACTTCAGACGCGTTTAGAAAAGTAGCCAAGAAAAATACTTACAATCTTGAGTTTGGGAAGGACTGGGTTGCGTCTGACTAGATCGAAATGGGGAGATAGTACACGGGATAACTGCATCGCCCGAAATAGACAGATCTCAACCAGTATCTCTACTACGAGAACTAAAGCTTATATAGCTTACATGAGAGTAATTATTAGGATAACTATATGTACAAATACTGGGTGTAAAAGAATAGGCCCTTGCCCTGCAAGGAAAACCACCGGCAAGAGCCCTCACCCGTTTAACGGAGGGTGCTGCTCCCTGGAGTTGGCTCGCCCTGAAAACTGAGTTCGAGGGGGGCCATACCCCTGAGATGGGGGCAAACGTGGGTCTCTACTACGCTGTTGACAATTGCACCAAGTGTGCCCGATGTGCTAGCAAAAACTGCATACCGGATCACTCTCAACGATGCGAAAACTACGTCCATACGAGCGAAAATCGGGCCTGCGCGGATTTTTATTGCGTCGTAATTCACTTTCCAAACGATTAATCTGGCGTTGCATTTGATCTGTTTGACGATGTCCAGACCAATTTCGCATTTGCGAAAAGCGCTGCGCTTCAGCGTTCTCTGGCTGAGCAATAGCGGCAATATTAGTACCACCGAGGAGCAGAACGTCGTTGATTGTGTTTCTGGATTTGTTTAATTTTCCGAGAGATATCATCCAATCGTTTTTCCAA